AATTATAGGTTCTTATTTTATTAAATATAATATTAAAAATTATAATTAATATAATATTTATAAAGTAAAAAATAATTATTTTTTTCAAAAAATTTTGAATCACCCTGTATATAAACTTTCTTATCACAATGTGCAATAGACCAATCTCTAAATCTATTAAACATACGTATTTCTTTATATCTAATGTGTAATAATCGGATCGGTCAAATTTTTTAGTAAATTAATATACAGTAAAATCTTAAGTTTGTAATAACTTTTAGCTATGTGAGATGTATAAATAACTATAAGTACGTTAATTATACAAAGTTATTTTTTTAGCCGAGTCTAATAAAAAAGCAATCACCATTTATGTACACTACGTTTGACACGCAATTAAGTGTCAACATTGGTATTTTATTAAGTACATTACAAGATTTTTATACATTTTTTTCTTAAGAATTTCTAGTTGAAAAAATATTTGCTTTCTTTGACGCTTGAAACTTTAAATTCACCTTTTTTAGGTAGTTCCGGAAAATCCAGATCCGCCCAGACATAAACATATTTTGAACGTTTCGTACCTGTTTTAAACCTCCTTTCTTCTTCACGCTCATGTTCATCGGCAAGATATTGATCAGGTATTTTTTCAAAATCTACATTATTATCTATTAAATAATTCACTTCGTCATTATCCAAATCGTTCATTATGTCATTTATTGAACAAGGGTTCTTTGAAAGATCGTCCTTTGGTGGTTTGGGTAAGATTTTCGATAATTCGTCTAAACTGAGTATGTCCTCATACCCGTTATCAGTAATTTCTACCTGCGCCTCCTCAACATTGTCCGTCGTTTCTAGCCCAAGCTTATTAGCCTTTTCTAATTTTAGTTTCTCGAATTCCGATCTTAAAACTTTAACAGGCACTTTGTATCCTTTGTATCGTTCTAAGAATTCATTCCTAAGATTTTCCATAATGGGTTGTTCGTGAAGTTTGATGAATTGTTCACGTATCACTTCGTTCATCACTTCAACATCGCAAGCATGAGTCCAATAGCTGTCATGCACAGATGCAAATGTTAAACCTTTTTCTTTGCACGAAAGGGCACTCATAAGCATATGAGTTGCATCAAGCGAGTGGATAAAATTTGGAGGGAACGCCGCCCGCTGTTTGACTCTATTGACGGGACTAGGAGATCCGCTATCTGTAAAACTTATAACTTGAAGGTCAGTTTTTATCATTTTCTTATGCATCTTGCGGTATGGCTGAACAATGGGTAAGTCTAGAGGAGTCGTCCAAACCACCGCCGTCATTTGGTTCGGCTCAGGTTGACTTGGTGGAATTTTAACAATTGATTTTTTAGAATTTTTCGGCAAAGTTCCATTTCTTTTCTCTTCTTCGCTGATTTCTTCTGGTGACTTCAGCACGAGTTCCGACGGCACGCTTTTTGAGATCCATTTGGCGCAATCATTCAACCAAGTTTGTATAGCTCGCGCACCATTAAACATCTCACCCAAGCAGCTGAATACGAGGCCAGTAACGTATATAGATAATTCATGAGTTTTATCCGCTGGTATTTCTTTGATCTCTTTAAGACGCGCCTCAATCTGTATTCTAGCTCCAATAAAAGTTACTCCATATACATTTGTCATCACTGTCTGTTTTACAACTTTGCGCGATATTTTTCCTTGCAATATAATAGCATTCTCGTCACCTTTTTCAGCGTCTTCGTCCACTAATTTCCGAACCCTTTCAGCAACTCCAGAATATATATCTGATGGAGCTTCTGACGGAGCCAAGTTGACCTGAGTTGCCCCGATCAAGTCACCTCCAAGAGCTGCATAATGTTGCAATCCATTACATGTGCCATCTTGGTGTACAGGAATTCGAGATTCGTAACTCTCTGGATTTCCCGATCGGATGGCTTCAGTGATCTCAAAGCAAGCAGAGAGGCACTGCCACGGGTCTTCAGATTTTTGCCACCACCGTCGTCCTGTCAACGGTTTATCCGCTGAATCCATTATGTCATCGATATGTTCTTCTGTGTACTTTATTCTTTCTTCGAACGAAGCTTTGTCAAATCCGGCAAGGTTAGCCATATGAATTTTGAGCCATTTCAAACCAACTTTGCCAAGAGGCTTGGCATCTCTAAACATTAACAACCCTCGACACAAATCGTCACCCAAATGGTTTAGATGTGACGGTATTGGGTAAGCGCGACCACGGAAGTCTAGGCTATGGGGAAAATACATAGATTCATTTAAGTACTGTAAAGAAAAGGAAGATAAATAATATCAATATGAATGAAGCGTTTAAGGACAAATGATTGTCAACGAGATGAAATCATTACTTACAGCGCCGGCTATATCCACTTTATAGTTCACCGAACATCTCATAGAATAGTTGTTACGGACCTTTTGAGTGATGTCTTTACAGGCTTTCACCCATTGGGCTTTCGATTTGAGATTTGTTTCAAAATCCGGAGGTTTTTCAGGCATTTCAAGATTCAGATTAGCGGGAGGGATGTCAGCCGCACCTTCACCGCTGTTCCATATTTCGAGAACAACATCGTACACTTTGTTGTTTATAGCCCAACATGTGGAGCCTAGAACATCCAAACCTGCAAACACGCGTTCTAAATAATGCAATTCGGATGCTTTCTTTAAGTATGCGATTTGCTCAGGACATTCCTTTGTCCTCATGGCAAGAGCTGACAACGATTTACCAAAAAGTCAGATACTCGTTTGCTAACGTAAAACGACATGGAAGAAACAATAAAAAACACACTTGGAGACGTCATGTAGCCTCCGCTGTTATAAGTCAGCCAAGGCTTTGGGTGAATTAGCATTGGTAACATGCGGGGATGCAAGTGCTCCCCAACAGATTCCACCGAAAGCCATTTTATCAGCTGAGGGTTGAGCTTGATCACACCAATTTTTTTTCCCCGAGTATATTCGTAGGAATGAAAGAAGGCAGGCACCATCTCGGTTCTAAAGTCGTTCGCATGGTAACGAGTAAAAAGAAAGATTTTAAACAAGATGCACATATGTATGTTTATGTATATATATCTAGTGGCGTTCAGCTTACATTTTCTTGCCATTAGCGTCGACTGTAGAAACTTGGATTTTGGCGACGTCAATCAGCATTCCAGCCAAAATGGAACCAATCTGTGACGGGTGAGGTACCTCTAGATGAATACCGATCTAAATAGCGAAATCACAAGAGGTGTAACTAAATTATGCTCACTTTGGCTCTGGCAACTAGCGGCCATTCTGGCTGCCAGGTGGTATTTAATTGTCCTTCTTCAATTTTTGCTGCAGCACGTCGAATGGTCATGTTAAATAGTTTTCCCGAAGAAAAAAGTTCTTGAATGCTTAAATCTTTTCCAATCTATTTAGTGACATGAGCATGAGAAGAAATAGAAATATTATTCATTACAACATTCCTCAAAGTGGTGGAAGTCCAGAAAAAAGCAATTCACCCCAGAATTATAATAAAAAAATTTTGTACAAGTTTACGGTTTTGTTTTTTTTTTAGTTGTTCCACATTGTATTCGCTTTCTACAGCTTTGCCAATTGCCATAATACCACGAGTGATTTTCATCCCGTCTATTATACCGCCGGCGCCATTTTGACGTATCATTTCCATAATGGTGATGGCTGACAACTTTTCTGCGCTCAGCATTTGTAGGAAAGGACCATATTGCGCGCGTTCATAACCTTCAACGTGAATATAAGTCGAATGGTGAATTAAATGAAGTTGATGGTGAAAAATCACTTTTGCCCTTACCGTTCAAGTTCTTACACATCTTCAACTCATCCTGGATCAAGGGAACCAGAGCCTCGTGCCAATCCCATATACATTTTTTCATGTCTGCGACTCCGGGATTCGGCTTTCCAATTTTACGCAATTGTTCATGTTCATATTTCCAGCGTTCTATCGCAGCATGCAACGCATTTTCCTCGAGCCTTATCTGACGTTCATATTCAGATAGTTGAGTCTCTTTCAGGGCCTCTAGTGTGGATTTCATGAGCTTCACCCCAATTGCCTAATCGTAGATCGGTTCCAATGTGAGTTTTATTTAATGACATACGAATTTAATCAATATCACATATATATACATATATATAATCAATACTTACCATTTTTGCGGGACTTTGTTCGGATGACATCCCTGGAACTGTATCAGTTGATGAAGAAACATGTTCTTCCACTGCGGACACGTGCTCGTCGGCCAGAGCGTGAATTGAAATTGATTGTTCAGATTTGTGAAGTCTTGTTAGTTTTTCCAAGAAAAGACGAGAATCGTGATCGGGATCTTTTTCATTATTAAACAGCTGAATTTCCGAAATAAATATTAAATCGCGTGTATATATGCGTCCGAATATTATATATGTGTATATATGCTTGATCCGAAATCTACCTCTATTAATTGCACTATTTCCTCATCTAATAATAAATCATTTTTCACTAGTTGATCAAGGGTGAATCCATTCTGCTCCATCTCGTAATTCAAGGCCTTAAGCAACGACAGGCCATTTATTTCCGAGCTCACTCTACAATCATCAGCACGTACAATGAGGATTTTATTTAAGGATGCAGTCAGACACAACGTGATGCGTTGCCATTTGATGAAAAGCAGTTTTTGAAGAAATTATAAACCTCAGAAATCCCCGTATCAAAATGGAAAACGTCGTCAGATCAGGTTTCAAGCCATATTCGTCCAAAGTATCCAACCATATCAAAGCTGATTCATAATGAACTACCACAAGAGCTTCAAGATACGCATTATGCACGTTGATATCTAAAAGGTGATACATATCCCTTGGACTATATTCGTATAAGTATTCCAATATTTTCTTTGCACGTCCAACTTCTCTTAACTTTAGGCACGCGTGTAGAATAGCAAACTTTTCCGAAAAATCGGTCGAACTAATTAGCCCGTCTTCTTTGATGAACGGACAAGGTTGTGGAAGAATCAATAAGGGGTTATCGAGGTTCAACGCTTGTGATCTTATGTTCGTAATTTCGGGCGAAACTACCGAGGGCGAAGTAGAAGGGACTCCGTGTGAAGGGGAGGTATATGCCCGGGCCCGCGAGGCTTCCAGGGTCAACGTCGAGGTTGCTTTTGAAAAACTATTATTGTGATTCACATGGTCGACTATGTTCAAATTCGTGGTTAGAAGTGCGCGTTTGTGTGACGGCAAAAAGTAGGTGCGTCGAAAATTCTTTACATTAAAATGAAAAATTTTTTGTTGCAATAATAATGTTCTTTGGGTGCGTGATATTAACATAATTTTAATTATAGTATTATTTGCAATGGAATTTTACTTTGTCAAAAGAAACATGGTTCCCGAACCTCACCCAAGTTTTATACAAAAGAACCAGAAAAAAAAAAAAAAAAAAAAAATTATCGCCACGTGATTTAAATGATTCTCGACAGATAATTCGCGCGTGGATCAAAAATCGAAAGTTTTCCCTTGCACATTTGAATAATGTCAGCAAAGAGACTACTGACCACTGTCCTCTCAGGACAGACGGAAGCAAGTTTTTCACCGCCGCCACTCGTAAGAAAATTGAGAAAAAAGGACTACAAAAAACTCTTGACCGCCGAGTTTCGAAAAGAAAATGAGCGACGCAGGGAGGAATCCTTGAGAAGGAAGGCACAAGGGAAAAAAGAAATGAATAAAGGACAAGACTTGTTGGACCCGAAAGTTTCCAAGACAGGAGCAACTCATTCAATTTTACCAACAAGAATGAGAGATCGACTACCCAAGTCAACACTTAGGCCTACACCAGTAAAGAAAGTCAAAGATCCTTCGGAAGAGAGGATCATTTTCGTTGATGGTACAAAGAAAACAGTACCGATAATAAATCAGCCAAAAGCATCGAAAAGTTACCGATACAATGATATGAAGAGATATCGAGATGAATTGAAGCTGAGAAGATACGAGTTTAAATTGGAACTGGGATTGGCAGCATCTCGTGATTCTGATAAGAGGAGTAAGGTTAACTCAGGAGAAACCGCATCTAGTTTTAATAATGATGATTTGGATAGTACTGTAATAAATCGATCGACAGATTCACAAACATCCGACGACACAACCATTTCTAAGGCGCCGGAAGACCTTCTAAGGAATCAACGAATGTTGCATGAGAAGATGCGAGCAGAACGTGAAGCTCGATTTAAAAAAATCAAAGAAACCTCGGAGATTCTGTCTTTAACTTCAAGTCAACCATTTACACCAGAAGGGTATAAAGATAGAAAAAAGGAGATCGGATTGGATAAGTACGAAGCTTATCAATCAATGAAACGTCAAGATAGACTAAATTATTTAATAAATTTATATCACAGTGCATCGGATTTCGTGACACTAAATAACTTGGATGAAAGAATTGAGGAAGCCTTTAACAAAAAACGAATTTATGCAAATACTTTGGACGATATGCGAATAAATTATAAAGAAATGGGAGGTGTTGGTATTGAAGAAGTTGAGAAAAGGCTAACTCAGATCAGTGATATATTAGAAGGAACATCCCGTGGACGTCCGGGACTAGATGTGATTAAATCATTTGATCCGTCCATTAAACTTATCGAGGTTGAAACAAAAGAAGATAATGAAGTGCAGAGCATAGAAATCCATGAATCAACAACAAATTCATCGTTGGAAGAAGAGGGGATGGATAAATAGATCAAACATCTAACGGATAGACTCAATCAATTCAACGTTTGTCTCTCACTTGTCATTATTACGGGAACCCCTAATAATTTAATTAATATATACAGTTCACGATCGTGGATGGCGCCCAATGGAAATTAATAGTTACACTCTATGATACGAATGGTTTTTTTAAATTAATTAATTAATCAGACGCTAACTAAAGAGAGCCCAAGAAATTGCATGTAAGGTGCCAACATCCAACGTGACAGAAAATAGAATAACATCCCGAAAGCGATTGAGATGGGTAATGCGGGAAGGGCCTTTTTGTAAATTACAAGTAAAAATATTGTCGTGTTCAAACCCTGAAGTGGTCAACATAATAAAGGGAAAAGATGAGAAAAAATTAGGAACAGGTTTAGAGCAATCGATAAAGACTTAAAACCTTTTAGATAAGTAGTGCTTTACCGTGAGAACAGCGACAACACACGCAACAGTCGTTATCCAATCAAACATGGCTGTATTTTTTTGTTTTTTTTTTTTATAAGAAAATTTGTTAGTATTGAGACTGACAGTAAAATAAAAAATGAAGATGAACATACCAGCTCGCGCAACCAAAACACTGTAAAACACAAAGTCTCCTAATCCCAGCTTCAATCCATTCCTTTCCTCTATAAAAATAATTTTGATTACACAGGTTCCATGCGTGCACACCAAAGAAACTTTTTTTACAAGCATACACAGATTTAATGATAAATTTCTAGATGACAAACCTTCCTCTTCATCTACTGAGCCCCCGTCATCCTGGGGATGATCATCATCAATTTGACGTTGGTAGCCTGACGATTGATTCCTTTTGGGTGGTATAACACTTGTGTCAGCATCATGGCTACTATTACCAGTTCCGCCTTCATCCTCTGCTTCAAGGTTGCTAGTTGGATTAAAATGGGTATGTCTAACATTCTCTGACAAGGGTATCTCTTCTCCAACGTAGCCGGACGAAGTCTCCCTTGTTTTAAATGCTAATGATTGACGTAATGACGCGAATGAAGATCTTGTGTTTGCTCGTGTGTTTAATAATGAAGCGGTTGGTTCTCCATTGCTTATTTGACTTGAGATACTTGGTGAAGCCATAAGCCAGACCGCATTCACTACAAAGCGAAGAATTTAATTATAGATAGATTACGCGAGGTGCCTGCAACACATTCCACTTACCCGAGTATAATAATGCGGGAATTTCGCGTTGATCCTCGCGCGAAGATTCAACCAAAATGCGCAAGGGTCCAAATGGACATAATACGGCGATCAGATCTTTCGACAGAATTTGAATTTTATGATTTTATGTTAGTAAATCGAAATTCGATCCCCGTTACCAAATGAAAACTCACCCCAAACAGCGAGCAAGCCTAAGAGAATCCACGTAGTCCAAGGTGAAAGGCCAGTCAAGGAAAAGGCCTGGAAACAGTTTAGAGAAGATTCCGAAATGAATCAGGAAAAGTAAAATCAATTGTTACCATTAAACTCGACATCACGGTGAGATAAATTTGCTGTAATAAAAGTGGACCCTTCCAGAAAACAGATATCAATCCCACGGTAGCAAAATTCCATAATGAGAAAGTGAGGGTAATATAATCCAAAGGTATGGATAAAACGGTTGTGATACTCCTGCAAATGTAGAAAAAACCACGATCAGATTACCTGTGAAAATGAGAATAAAGGTATCATTACTATCTTACAGAAGACGTGAAGCGCAACGTACAAAATGAGAAGGTATCCCATATACCCGAGAAGCAAGAGCACCACAAACATGAAGAATCCTATGAGGATCTATACATTTCTTGGTCAGCATTTGTTTATAAACGATCGTTGTTAGAAGAAAAGATACAATAACGCAAAAACTTACTTTAATGCACCCATGTTTAAACAAGCAGACGATGATGATGGTGACCACGATTATCTGTAATATAAGAATGCCTGCTGTGACAAAGGAATTGAAGAATTGTGCTGACGAATTGGAATTGTTCGAGGAGTTGATTAAACTATCTCCTGATCTGGGACTAAAACAGTGTTGCGGTAAACGAAATTAATTACATCAGAAAAAAGACATCGATTAATTTATGTATTTTTTTCCTTGTCCCCTCACCTAAATTCTGGAGCTCTCAATGACACTTTTACCCAAAGTATGGATAGCACTATGCAGAAAACAACAGGTTTGATAATTCTATAAACTTGTTGCATGTAAAATCGGAATTCATTAGCTTGATCGGCATCAAACGTTGGAGGTTGTTGGTCGGTTGACTGCTGACGAAAAAGGAATTATGTATGAAGCTCCGTTGCTGGTCAACTAAAATAAAAAAAAAAAAATAGATATTATTTTTACTTGTGTCCCTTGAGATCCAGGTCCATCCCGACTCATCCGTTTAGCTATAAAAATCGGAATCAATATAAAGGTCCAAGTAAAAGGTGACGATGAAGGAAGGCGTCCTCACTTTTATTATTGATTATCTGCGCAATATTGCCGCGACCGTAAATTTTATTATTTGCTCTTCGGACCGCGCTTGAACTTCCCTCAGCGTCGGATCCTTCTTGAAAAGTCCTCACGTGTGTTCCCACGCAAACCGACGAGTGACCTTTCGTCCAATCTTCATTTTGACATTTTGGTGAGCAATATCTCGGACCAGCTTGCTCACAAGCTTTACACAAGAAGCTCGCAGGATTTCCACAGTTTGCACACGAATAAGAAGTCACCTCAGGGGATGTGGAGACGATTGCGGGACTCGTGGTTGTTTGCTCATCGTCTGTAGATACCTGGGCTTCACTCCCTCTGCGTGTTGAATCGTTTCTGCTAGCAAGGTCCACTTCATCTAACAAATTATTTTGATCAGTGGCCGAAGAAGTGGAGAAGAGATTCGACATTGATTTCGGAATTCGCTCACTATCACTATTCTAGGCAACATTAATTTATCTGGCATGTACTTAAATTCCGATGACAATGCATAATGCGCATCATAATGCGTAACAGACGAATTCGTGTATTCATTTGTCAAATCCGGAATTCTGACGAGTGCACTTATTATAATTACAAGTCGAATACTTGTTAACGGGAGATCTTGATGTTTATTGTCTTATAAATATTATATTGAAAATTCAAGTTCTTCCTTGAATTTATAATAATTAATCTAGGTTTTGTCGTGGTAAAGGTTTTTACTTCTTTTTTACCCCATACCTTTTGCACTGCTGCTGAAACCAAATCTACGGTCCACAAACAATAAAAAAAAATTATTATTAAATATTCAATTATTTTTTTACCCCAAAATGATAATGTGATAAGGAAGAGGAAACACAAAGAAAGGAATACACGTGCCCGAATAATTGAAATTGCAACTCTATGAAATGAATTTACATTATTGATATACAGAAGGAAAAATGAAAGGGTAGGTACAACAAATAAAAATAGGATTATGAAACTAGTATAATTCAAGTTCAAGCTGAAAGATTTGTTATTAGTAAGTTATGGCTAATATCAAGAATTATTCAAGACAAAAAAACATGCATGCAATCCTTCTTAAATAAAGAATTATGTGGAAAGGATACAAATGAAAACGCGGTTCTTTGCGGATTCCGAAAATTGAGCCCATTCTGATTGTACAGGGATTGATTCTCGCTATCTAAAAAAACACATATATCTTCGATCATCTGACCGAGAAAGATTACTTTAATAAAATAAAGAAAAGAAGAAGTAAAGACGATGACTTTGATTTCGGAACTTCGTACCCTATCATAATGTGATCGTATACACAACGTCGACGTGTATATTGTCACGCATGCCAGGAAATTATCGAACCAATTGTATTTTGGACTAAAAGCCTTTGACAGCATTTCATTCAATGTGTTTATCGTCTGCTGAAAACGTCTCGGATTTATCTGCAAAAGTGATTAGTAAATGAAGTAAGATCAGCATCTCTTTGGATTCGATTCCTGCTCCAAAATTTCCAAAATTGAAACAGAACTATAATGTTTGTGCTTTTTGTATGTTTATTTATGCCCTAGAAATTACTTGTTCGGTTGATTCACCAACTCCAAAAATGAATTTCTGAATGATTTACCCGTCCATCAATTTCCATGGGGAAAGCTGTTTGAAATTGACACAACTCCCCCTTGGAATAATCTCTCTCTATTCGAACAATCTGTTTAGGTGCTATGGTATTGGATGTATTCGTGCTCGGCGATAGCGGCTCTGCGGAACCGGTGTTCATCAACGGACCTGTCCTTTCGGTTTCAGTAAACCGCAAGGCCAGCATTCCATCTTCCGAGATCTCTGCTAAATGCTCTAGTTCGAAGCTTGTGTCCGAGTGAAGAGGGTCAGATTTGGATTCTGAAGATATTTGATTTTCGGGTTTAAAAATCATGATATTGGGTTTGTACGAATTTGAAGCTGACGCAGGGATATTTTGAACAAGGTCTATGTTTATTCCAGATTTAGGTGAAACGGGTATACTATTAGACTGTTGCGGTTTGAGTGTTTCAGGTGGGTCGTCTGCTTTTTTTGAAACTTCTGCACTGAGCTGGTCAGTGTCACCTTCAACAGCACCATTCTGCGTCGAAGCCGTTTCTTCTATCAATACAACAGTGCTGCCGGTCATCGAGTCCTTCTTTCCTTCACCTTCTTCTACATTCTTCTCCACCTCCTCGTCCACTATCTTTTTAGATGTAATAACCCCTTCCTCCGCTGCCACATTGTCTCTCGAGTCTTCTTGGCCAACTGTGTTGTCCATTTAAGGGAAATATTTGAAGAACTTTTCCAGATTTAACGGTGCATAGTCTATATGACCTGTTTAGAAAATAAATAAAAAACTCAACTCACGATATAATTTCTTCAAACTAGAGAAATGTACCTACAACACAATGCAAGGCGACGTCACCCCTTGCATTTTTTTGCGACTCTAAAACACTCTTAATCGCTGTGTTTAATTATTGACTGGTGTAACTTACCAAATTACGAATAATGCAATTTACGAAAGGATAAACAAGGAAAACTATCTTCCTGGTGTGGTAGTTAACCTGTTCGACTCGATTTTGCGTTCCACTAATAAGATGCTATTTATGTGCTTCTTTGATGCGTTTAAAAGAATGACAAGAAATCAACAGGTTACGCTAACGTTTACGCAAAATCAATTTGATGAATTTGATGAATGCAACCAAAAAAATTATTAATCAGGTTTTTATAAGAAAGCTTATTTAATACCATTTTTTGCTATCTTTAGATAATTCCAGCCAAACTGACAAATTAATTTAATTTATTAATAATTCTCATATTGATATACAATAATATGTATATTATAAAAAAAAATATCATAATTAAATTTTCTTTATATTTACAATATTTTTTTTTATATAGTGTAAATAAATAAACATTAAATACAAGATATTTTATTAACATAAATTAATAAATTATTTATTATATATCAAATGTTTCATATTATATATATATTGAAATTTATAACTTTTTGATATAATTAATATAATTACTAAATACAATTAATTCAATTATTATTACTAAGAATTTTAATAAAAAAAAATACTTTTTAATTAATTATTTTTTTATTTTTATAACAATATAATCTTATAATCAAATTTATCAAAAAAACTTTTTTAAATTTATATATATATAGACTTTTTTGATGATTTTAATAAACTCATTAATTAATATTATTTTTGAATTTAAATTATTTGTTATTAACAATAAAACAAAAGATATATTATTTTTTTAATAAAAAAATTATTTTGAAAAAGTTAATCAACATCTTAATTAACTTTTCAAAATAAGATTTTTGAATTTTTTATAAAGTTTAATTAATTTTAATTCAATAATATAATAATAAATCAAATTATTATTTAATAAAATATTAATTATTAATTAATTTTATATTATTAAAAACTGTTTATTATAACTTTACTTTTTAAAAAATATATAAACTTTTAAACAAATATCTTATTTCTTTAATAAAATTATTTGAAAAAAATTTTTTTATTAAAATTATTAATAATAAATATTTTTTGTTATTAATATACAGTATATAAGCTACTATTCAATTTCAATTTTTATTGATTTTAAAAATTTAAAAACATTATAAAACCTATTTTAATTGTTTTAATTATATATTATAATTATAAATAATTTTAATCA